TGAGAGGACTGAATGCACAACTGGCTCTGACAACGATTCGCGGTGGCCTGCCGATGTATCAAGTGCGCTATTCTTTCAGATAAGTTACGTACAAGTTTGCCGACCTCAGAGGGATGGAAGGCTTAATGAGGCCAGGCTGCATATCGTATTAACGATCAGATGTGTATTACAGGGCACATCAAACCGCTTGTACGAGTGTCCCATATTTACTGATACATGCCAGCAACACTCCATCGTTATATCACCACTTACACGAACACTACAGGGGATGACAACCAACAGTGTTTGCAATGGAAAACAAGTCACTTAATTTCTACAATATATCGCGGCGGAACTGGTTTCTTGACAACTACCAAAAATTTCTTGAAAACTAGTGTAGTTAGAATCTGAGGACTTCACAATCTAAAGCAGAGGCTCAAATTATCGCAACACGAGAAGAAAGAGCATTTAACGAAGAGTTCAATAAATAGAATAAGGGACGGGCTAAGCATTTGAATTCCATTTGCAACATCACTGAGGTCACTGAATACTCAGTGTTTTTATGTGTCAAAACAGTCCGGTACAGCATACTGGTCGTTGACCCACAGAGGGCTTGTTCAAGGATATAGTACTAAGCCCAGTGTCGGAAGTGCATTGTAACGCGCCTTTAACGCTGAGCCATAAGCGTTCCAAGCACATCGAAGTGCGAGAATAATTTCAATGAAGAAGCGCAATTTCCCGGCCAATTAACTGTTTTCTTTATGTAGGTTAAGGTCAGATAGGGCAAAAAATAGCGCAATACAGTGTGAGAATATCTCTGGAGACGTCATAATGAAAAGTGAAGCGAGCCATGATACCTTAAAATATCTATAATGGTTATAAATCCATGAAAAACGAAAAAGTCACATAGGAAAGCATGGTTTTTAGTAGACATTTACCGTAGTTTCTATGTTCATTCTATATATCATTTATGGGATCAGTAAATCGAAGAAACTAGGAAGCTTTGTATCAAAGAGGACGGATGGAATTATCACCGATTACTTCATTTTTAAAAATTGGCAGTTTATGTTTTCATTCAATAACAACCCTTGATTCTTTTATATTTATATATGATTTCCATCTAAAATGTCAATTTAAGAGTCCGCGTATCGGTCAGTGGTTAAAGGAGTCTTCTATAATACATAGGTAACCATTGGTTCGATCGCACTACTCCTGGGACTGAATCATTCCATATCTTCGGTTCGGCGAGATGTTGCACGATCTTTCTGAGAGGTTTCGAAAAGGTGTTATGATTCGTCGGAAGTCTCCAGCACGGTACTGTAGAGGCCAAAGGTGCAGCTCTAAGATGCTACGGGTGCGGCCGTATACACAACACATCCGAGCGTTTTGATAAATACGGAGAAACTTCAGCCTCATTTATGCCTATTCCAAAATGAATTTCGTTTCCGAATACAGACGAATATCGAATTATTCGAATGTTCTGAAAAAGAACCTTCCAGATTGTCAACGGCCGCAATAACTAAGATCGATAAGGTAGCAGTAGCAAGGTCCAATAGCAACCAACAACCATAGCGCATGCCTTTCACGAAACACATAACGACAACCAATTGCCATTGATGTATAAAAAAATAGCATATGATAAAAGGAACAACATGAGATGAACGGATGACAAAAGAAACAACATGAGATGAGAATGATGAAGGGATTCGTGAGGAGTATGATTATGAATACAAACATCGTACTAATTCTCATAACCAACGTTAATCGGTAAAACTGGAGACTTATAACTTAAGGGATTTTTCTCCCTTGCTATATTGCATTTTTTGCGTGATGTCACAGATAGCGGAAAGACCGAGAGAATTATCTCAACTGTCAAAATTACTGCTTTAACAGCTTTATCAACTACAAAGTCACATACCTTCTTCGCTACCTCTCTCTATATGTTTCTCGTTCTCTATTCTACTTTCGTTTTTTGTCCTTTTTTCCTGTCCCTCTTTTTCCCTCATTCTCTCTCTCTCCCTTTTTTTTGTCTCTCTTTGTTTCCCTATCTATCGGTCTATCTACTTATCTATTACATTGTCTATCAACCCATCAATCTATTCAACTTTTTGTTACCAGAACAACTGACCGACTGAGCAATAGAAAAAGCATATTATTGGATTCCTTCTTGCTAGGTATTTTGCAATAATATCGCGAAACGATACTATACCTATTACTTTTATTAAGATTGAAATAAAATCACGCAGAAAATAAAGCTATTTGGTCTTCATTCACTTGATAAAGTTGGCAAAAAACAGACATAAACCGATGGTGATCGTTCGAATTTCACCCACCTTAAAATTACTACCGGATAACCATTGAAATAGAACATCACAGTAATCGTTGAGAATTTTTGAGTCGGAGGGTAATCGTTGATTGTTTGAGAGTTCATTCAACAACTGCTGACCAAGTTCAAGTCTAACTCTCGGATCAAAGCTGTTCTGTTCGAGAAGGAACGACAACCACGACGACATTAGGGGGTTTCGCTCACGAGTTGACGAACATGACGACGTTGGCGGTTATAACCCGAAATCGGAAACACACCGATGAGGATGCGAGCAAATGGACGGATATGCCAGACGTCCTGGTTCTCCTCTGCGCTCTCTGACTCCTAGACGTCCGTGACGGCGGTGTGGCCGTGTCCGCAATAGAACCTCCCTTCCTCCTCTCTCGACGTCTGTTCTTCGTCCCCTAATCGCACATTCACCTCCCTCACCAAAGTCATGGTTACCAGTTAGGTAAAAGTAAGTCACCGAAAAGAGAGAGAGGTCTGATGTGTGGAGACGAGTTCGGCGTCTTCTGTGTGCTCATCTGGAAGAGACGAAGCTCAAGCTTCATTCGTTACTGCAACGTCCAACCGTGTAAACTGCAGTGAATTACCTCAGCGAGATGAATGCGTTGACGGTCTGTCTTCACGAAGAGCGCAAAACCTTCCGAGGTGTGTGATTTGTCTAAGAAGTGGAACATCTGGCCGATTATCGTAGTGACGACAACCTTTGATTCCAGCGAAAACCACAAAAACGTTGCCGAGATCTTGATTTTTTGTAGTACAAAATTCTTAAAACTCATGCATCAAGCGATGTCGAACTTACTAGTAAGTAGCTATTGTCGGTTGCATTTGAACTTACCAGCTTATAGATGTGATTTATGTTCCCATTTAACGGATCACTGTTGTTGTCTTAGTCTCGCAGACGTAAATCATCCCGTACAGGGGTCCGATGGTGGAACTTGTACCCGACTGCGAATGAATGAAAGAGCCCTTGAGACTCGTTTCTTATCATCATGCTTTGTTCTATGATCATATTACTTCAGATGAGCACCTCCTGTGGAATTTATTGAACAAAATATCATCCTGCATAGTTTTATTGCATTTTGCGGAACCCTGTTGCTTTCTACTTTGCTTTTTTTGTCTTATGCTTGACATTTTCAATGAAAAAACACATACGCGTGCTGTCATTGCCAGGAAGTTTCTAATAGTTATGGATTGATTTCCTAAACATAGTGGGAAATGACAAGTGCAGTAACTTATCTCATGCACTTCTAAGAAAATTCAATTACAACGTTTCGAAGGATAAAATCACCACCGATGAGTTGTTCTATTTCATGAAACGTCTCAAATGTAATTCAGCGATTCTTCTTCTTTCGCAATTTTTGGATCACCAAAGATTTATTGACTAATGTTTCAGAAAACTTTCGAAATATCATCTCTAAAAGCCAATTGTGTTATGTGAAATGTCCCAGGTCGTCACGGCTTATAGTGAAGGTGGCGCTTACTTGGCATCGAGTCCATTACACCTGACATCGGAAGACAGCTCTTCTCATAAATTCATTGAGTTAAAGACTGAGTAGATTAAGACTTATGTGGTGCTCTCTCACTCATAAGATCAATTATGCCACATTTGGCCAAAGAACGACCATCTGCGCTTTCCGTCAACGCTTCGTGTTCGATCTGGTCTTCCATTTTTCGCTGGAACCGAAATGTCTATCAGTTTCCTTTAAGAGTTATTTTTCGATGCTGAATTTTCAAAAGGACGAAAGATAAGATTTTCCTCACTAAATCCCCGAAGAGTGCGCCATATGCTGTAGTTCATTCTTGGGGCAGCTGAGGGAGCTTGAATCTGACTTATACTTTTGGTAGTCTACCGATGTACCAAGTCATTGAGTAACTTCCGAGACATCTCGATTACCGATTTGCTGACTCCGGATGGTTGCAAAGTTTGGTGAAACCGGGACGCGGAGTCGAACTGAAGATCATTTGTGTATCGCAGGGCACCTCTAATCAATGTCCTACATGTGAAAACGAAGGCTTTGTCAGTGACTTAATCAGTCTTTCAGAAATGAGCCTTGATAAGAATTAGCTAAATGTTATACCTTTTGTTTCGAGTGTTTTCTTAAGACCACGCTCAAATTCTAATATGCCTGATAGTTATTTTTGAGCTATGCATGGGCCTGTTTTGGCACTCATAGAGTGGAAACACTTTTTTCGGCCTTGCAGCCTCGTCAGTTGCACAGTATCTTTCGTCTGAATCAGTCCTCACGGGGTGAGCACATCCCCCTTATATAAAGGAGACGCAGACGTACTATTTACATGTGCCGTCAGGTGAAACAAATCACTAGATGGGTAATGTTGTACACTCGATTGTTCCTGGCTGGTATCTTCAACGGCTCAAAAATAATTATCAGGTATTTTGAAATTTGAGCGTAGTTTTGAAAAACACTCGAAACAAAACGCATGATACCCGGTGATGTAGAGTGGTGTGCAAAACGTTTGCGTCAGCTGGGATTCGAACCTACACTTCACTCTATCCGGGAGCGCGTGCTGAATTGTTGCTCTACGAAAATGATTACTGATTTATTATCAACACCCAACATTTTTGGGCATAAGTGGGTTCATTGTCGATAGCGGCTACCCACGCCAGATCGTTGACGGTTGGGTGTTAACAGGCAGCGTGTTGTAGCATAGAAGGAGTGGTGTCGAAACGGCCGTCGGTAGTGCAACGGTTCAGCACGCGCTCCCGCATAGGGTGAAGTGTAGGTTCGAATCCCAGCTGACGCAGATGATTTTGCACACCACTCTACATCATTGGGTTCATTTGACATCATAACACCGCAAGAGGCGGTCAAAAAGAAATGATTTCTGACTGATTACCAAAACGTATGTTAATTCATGAATGCCAACCAAGAGCAATCGAGTGTACAAAATTGCTCGTTCGGTGATACTATCATTTATCGGCGCTTGTAAAACGTTCGTCGGCAACTTCTTTATGTAAGAAGGATTTCCAAAAGGATTCCTCAGAGGAAAGTCACTGTGCAACTGACGAGGCTCCAAGACCGAAACACTTGTATAGCATTGTATAAGTGCCAATATAGACCACATGCATGGCTCAAAAATAATTATCAGCTAAATGTTCCTTCTCAGTGGCTTTTTCCTGATAAGCGAATCCGAGGTTGGTAATAACCTCAGAACAGCCTATTAGGTAAAAAAAAATCTGCTGATTTGTTCCACCTGTGCCGAGTGGATAGTCAGCTTTGGGAGTTTTTACTTCTTAAGTTAATACTGTAGTTAAAATGTCAACCGGACAACCTAATTTCCGGTGAAGAGTGCAGTTATGTTGGTTAGGAAAACGTGTCATAAAAAAGCCGTAACTTTTTTCTTTGAAAATTTGCAGTTTTTTTGTCATTTTGAGAGCCATTGCAGACTAGTAACTGATTGCTAAAAGTACCGGTTTTCAAGGGCAAACCTTGCCATTGAGAGTTTGCCGAGCGTATCACGGTCATAATTTTTTTATGAATACGACTCATGAATCTGTCTCATAAGCCAACCAGTTCACTTTTTGAGAAAATCTATCCTTTATCCGATAAGCCTCATACAACAAAAATGAAGGACACGTTTAACTTAGTGGTTATAGTATGCTCTGCAGTATACATATGTTTTTTGGCAGGGTCAGACTTCGAGCTAATCATTCCCAACATTGTGACATTACTATCATAGGATACGCTTGTCTGAAAGGCGAACTTTTTTACTTGATGCAATAGTAGGGCTGTTCATACCATAAGGACCAGGTAAGCATTCATTCACCTCTACTAAGTTGCGATTGGAGTCGATTCTATGAGGCACCTTCAAAGTACGGGTAACTACCAAACACTGCTACTATTTTCTTGCGAAAAAACAGATCAACGATAAAGTGTCTACTACATTACACTGTTGATTATGTGTTAATAAAAATGGGCACAGAGTTCGAAATTCATTTTCTGGTCAGTAATTTCTTCTAAATTGACGAATGCGACCTACGCTGCTGTCCTTTTTCACACTTGTGGAGGATATGTCGAAGTTTGCATGGACACGTAATGCGCCGTAATATGATATCGCATTAGCCATAGACTAATTATAATGGGCGCAGGTAAAATTTCCATTCGTTCCTAATACACGCCAGACTAATCAAATGACTTTTTGAATTCGAGTGATATGAAGAGCAAACCATTTTGAAAAGATACCATCTACCTTCAGTGTTTTTGGCGAAAATATCGCAAGAGTGTAAGGATTGATTAAATTTTTGATGCTCAACATTGGTATGAGCAAAATAAGGAGGGTTTCAGAAGAGACTTAAGAAACTCCGGCTTGATACATGTGTTGTACACCGCAAGTCCGTGTGTAAGCCAGATATGTGTCCGATTACCTCACGATGCTTTAGAAGGAAGACAATCCTCAGTATTTTTATTTGCTATTGGTTAACGTCAAACGCTTTATATCTGTCCTTTTGAGGAAATTCGCTGTGTTCTATCTTGATATCGATAGCCAAATGACTAATGACTAGTGCTTTATTTTGAGGTCTTGTTTTTGGTAATAAAAAGTATTGTTTGAGTTTTCACCTTTTCACAGGAACTATCACATCTTCCCACGACGATTTAGCTCTTGAAGAATTTGAAATGCAAACTTGTTCCCCACACTCGATCATCACCTACCGGATGTCGCAACGACAACGATGCCATAACGAGGCGATGAGAAAAAGTCGGGCGACCTCCCATTGGGGAGTGATTTGTTCAAACTGAAGTATGCTTTAACAAATATACTAAGATAGTTTCCTAATAACACTTATCGTTTAGGACCTCAGTTTTCTTCGTCTTTAGATAACAATTTCCCACATGGCGTAATCAAAAAACATTAAATTCAGTTTAATTTACCAACTTAAAGAATGTGCTCCACAAGAATACAAACCAAAAATCGAAGTTTTTTTGATTTAAGATCACTTAAAAAGATATGTGAGCTACCTGAGTTATCTTCATCTTCTGAGTGCATAAATAGAACAGAAACCCGGAACCCATCTATGACGTGTATTTTGCCGAGTAAAAATTTTTTCCCTGCACTTGCATTGAAAGTAATTTTACGAGATTATTAGGTGCTACCACCATTTAACTAAGTTTTCTCCAAGACATAAATCCACCTTTAGCTTTCTTCTTCGTAAAGCGCCAAAATACTAACATCTCGGGGCGTACGTAGGGCAGTGGTTGAAGAGTACTTCGCAACAAAATATGATTACCAATTCGAATCAAAATCTGAATATCCGCGCCTCTTATCCCTCCACGGCTGGACTATTGATACCGGATTTGTGAGGACAACAGCCGCGATATTGACAGACCACTTCAAGTCACACTATGTAGGCTATATCATTCCATCACTTCTAACAATGATTGATGAAGTTGCAACCAGGGCGCATCACTTGTGATTTGTCAAGAATTGATGATTTATCATTTATCATTTAATTGATCAGAATTTAATAAAATATGTGAAATGGGTCTGAGTCTACATACGCGCTACCATTGTGCATTTAGCTGCTCCAAACTGCGACCTAACGTGTTCGTTTAGTTTTGAGGATAGCGGACAACGTGAAATTTTACACTTTACACTTTATTGGTTCGTGTACACAGTGTTTCTTTTTTCACTGAGCGTATCCCACTGCTCCTAGCATTCAACTCGTTTTTTCTTCTTCTTCTTGAACGTTGTAGAATACTGGTTGAGCACGTCTCCTTGCACTCTCTAATATAGCCGACTGTGGCGTTCCATTGGGCGTTCGTTGTTGACCGGGGAGTGTTCAGGGGCTATGCATGGCTACAGCGTGAGTCAAAGAATGTTAACGGATTATAACGCTTTTTATAGCATTCTTCCTTTTGCAAAGTCACTTTCATTATGAATTCCAAGGAAAATATTACTACGTAAACATGCAAACGAATAATTGAACAAGGATGAAATGCAAGTAAACTAAGATTGCATGACCTGATTCCAATGTCACAATGGACGAAATCGGATGCAAATGAGTGAATACGCCTGCACATATAACCCACATAGACTATTGTTGAATGAATAAAACTGGACTACCGTTTCAAAGCCTCTTCTAACTCATCTAATTTTCTCAGAAATTATTGTCTCATACCTTTCATTTCGAGTGTTTTCTTGAGACCACGCTCAAATTTCAACAGATCCCTTCATTATCATTTGAGCTAACACGTCATGTGGTCTGGTAAAGGCTCTTGTACAGCGCGATACACGTGAGCAGGTTTCCGAGAGGGTTGGCTAGTAAAAAGATTGAACGATGACGGGTTCTGCCCCACTGACGAGACAGTATGGTTGAAACACGTATATCGGGCTTCATATGTCAGCGCATTCAGCAGACCACATGACATGTTAGCTCAAATAATAATTGCGAGATATATTATCTCATAGTTTGGTTGAGTAATTAGTGGCGAAATTCCTAGTCAATGGTCGACCTAAAGCAACAGTTAAGCAAAATCATAGAATTGATTAAGTTCGATCTTCCTTTTTTCCGCCTAATTAGTGAGATAGAATTGATGTCTGAAGCTTACAATACGTTTGTAGCTTCCGTGGTTCACTGAAAAATCCTCAGATAGGATTTTGAATAGGCTAAAACTATAGACTCATCAGAACAGCTCATCTTCAAGCCTACCTGAATGTTTTTATACAAGCGGTAAAGCGATCAAATATGATAAGTTCGTTGTCGAAGAAATACAACGAGGGACCCATCTCGTTGTAAATTTGAAAAATAAAACTAGTGTCACAGAGTATAAAACTTGTTGCTTCACTCAGCACAAAGTACACCCGCCAACGTTCGTCATGGCATTTACTTAGTTGAAGAATACATCAGAAAATGCGTACAAGCAATATCAACGTGCTTGGTTTTCCTTTTGATGGACTGAGATAAAATAATTTGAAAGATAGTTCTAATTTTTTCTGCATCATTAAGTAAATTATTCCTCCAGCGAGCTGTCCTCTATTCTCTAAAATAATTTGGTGAATTTGAGTTTTTTTCGATTGTTTCAAAGCTGATTACGTCATTTTGCCTCCAAGAGTCGACGTCTCGAATACTTTACCCGTTCTGAGAGATTCTCGTTTTCTGATCAACGAGATTACCACTACTAATTGCATAGAGCTTATTCTTTTTCTTCTCACAGTACAGACAACCTGGCTTTGAAAATGACGAGTTTGCTGGATTGTTAGCTATCGAAAAGCAAAAGTACGTGTTAACAACCTTTTGTCAGCTCATCGGACACAGTTCAAAAGAAATGTTTTTCGGTTCAGCTCTGCTGGCAGGAATGGAAAAGGGAAAAGGTGAGAAAAATTATGGCAGGCTAAGAGGAAGCAAGGCACTGGTTCAACCCACTTCCCGAACACTTTCTTGCATTCACTCAACAAATTCCCTAGTTTGGTTTCCTCTGAGATTACAAAGAGATTTGTCCGACCAGTAATCTACGTCATCCATGAAGAAAACGAAACCTCAAATAGCAGTTGAATCAACACTGCAAATGTTCGAAGATCTTTGTGATGGATGAATGCGAGGATACGAATCGAATACCAGAAGTACAAGGATCCGCACAACAATATGATGACGACCTACATAGAATAAGGAATATAAAATATAGAAGGATTTATATCTTCTGTAAGAATTCTTTATTGCTTCAATGACAGGGTCTTGATGTCATAATTATATAATGGCCCAGCACTGCTGAATGATTCGCAAAACTTAAATTTATAGGTGTGAGTCA